TCCATTTACCCATTTTGAATTAAATACAACCTTTAAATCCAATTNGCGCTAAAGTGAAATTTACTTTAGCGCCATAACGCTGAAGTACTTTTTTGCTATGTTGATCTTAGCAACCGTCGTTATGCAACAATGACTTACTTCTACCGCGAGTAAACACGACAACAAAGTTGTTATTTAATGACGTTTGAAGAAAAAGTACTTTACCTGCCGCATATGCGGCAGACAATAGTTATTTACGATACAAATGCGGAAAGGCTCGCTTTTCACATGAGCACGCTAGTTTGCAGAACGAACGACCGAAGGCAGTGAGTTCTGCATTTGCGTGCGAATGCTGGAAAAATCTTTTCCGCATTAGTATTGTACAATATTTTTTGTAACGAATAAAACGTCCCTGTGTGACGATATGAGTTGCATGTGGCGTTTTTGACAGGAAAAAAGCAACCGAAATTCAAAACGTCAATATTGATTTTATTGATTGCAAATTGATTTTTATAGATTTTTTAAATATTTTAAAACTGTGTTATCTGCACACGAATGTATAAAACGTTCTTATTAACCGTTTCTTATAAACATGCACATTTGGTCATTAAATATTCCTGTTAGTTGCGGTAACAAAAAGCATTTGTGCGGGAAAACGCGTTTCCCGCACGTGCTCTCTGTGCGGGAAATAGGTATCTAGATGCTATGAGTACAAAAAGTACTTTACCTGCCGCTAATTGCTGCAATTTGAACCCGGTACCTTCTGTATGAAAGCGCACTTCCCTCTCCACTATACTACCGACCTTTGATACCATACCCCTGGCACTTATTAACGTTGTGTTCGTACAAAGTGACGTCATTTTTAGTATTGGGCCGACGGGATAGATGGCGCTATATTGCGTTATATTATGTAGATATCTACTTTATCTTGGCAGTTTAAATTAATAAATATTTTAGGATTTAAGTAGTCGTTTCGTCAATTCGTTTTTCTACTGTTTTCTAAGTTGTTTGTCAGGTTGGTTAGTGTTTTGATGCGGCTTTGTGTTTGATAGTTTAGTTTTCGAATTTTGCAAGGTATTTTCCGTATATTACGAGCAGTATTTTTAAAGACTTTAGAAACTCTAAAGAAATTTACGAAATTTTATTCTTGGTAAGTACATTTGATATACTTTTTTTTATTTATTTCATATTATTATATTATGATCTCCAGTTTCATAATAAATTTTTAAATATAAGTTGCCCTTAAAATAATATGGAAACTAATACTCATAAAAAACCTCTGAAATTTAAACATTGATTATGGAACTGGATTAGGTATTTGTAAAATAAATATACAGGTGTATCTGAATGACTGCAACAAACTTCAAGGGGTGATTCCTTAGTGAATTTTAAGGGTACTTTGATATATGAACCATGGGCGACTTCGGCCCCCCTAAGGAGCTACGCCCCTCTAAAAATGGCGGAAAATTTTGGTTTAATTTTTTTTTCTCAAAAACCATAAACGCTAGGAAAATGAAATTTGGGGAATATGTTTAACTCATAATAGGGCACGTTTTGACCCTATTTGTACTTTCAACCTACCCTTCTAAACTACTAAACGTAACCACCCCCGTTCAATTTATGCCTAGATTTTTTTTATGAAGATGATAAATACATTGGAAAAATTTCAGTTAGATAGATAAAACTATTCTAAAACTTTTTTGTCTCTCTGATGTTCTTCGAAAATTTAATAATTTCTGAGAAAAAAAATAATTAAGCAAACACTAACTGTTAAGCTGTAGGGTTGTTAATCGAAAGTTGGAATGAATTTTTAATGAAAAAATCTTAGTAGGCTTTGCAATCTTTGTCAGAAATATTTTTGACGTTTAAATGTCAGTGGTTTTCGTACGATTATTATTGTTTTATTTAAAATTTTGAAACGTAGAGTGAACGAGCGTAAATGCGATAGACCTTTATTTAAAAATTAATTTGAAAAACAATAATAATAATAAGAAAAACAGTGATATTTAAACGTCAAAAATATTTCTGACAAAGATTGCAAAGCCTACTAAGATTTTTTCATTAAAAATTCATTCCAACTTTCGATTAACAACCCTACAGCTTAACAGTTAGTGTTTGCTTAATTATTTTTTTTCTCAGAAATTATTACATTTCGAAGAACATCAGAGAGACAAAAAAGTTTTAGAATAGTTTTATCTATCTAACTGAAATTTTTCCAATGATAATAATGATAATATCATCTTCATAAAAAAAATCTAGGTATAAATTGAATGGGGGTGGCTACATTTAGTAGTTTAGAAGGGTAGGTTGAAAGTACAAATAGGGTTAAAACGTGCCCTATTATGAGTTAAACATATTCCCCAAATATCATTTTCCTAGCGTTTATGGTTTTTGAGAAAAAAAAATTAAACCAAAATTTTCCGCCGTTTTTGGAGGAGTGTAGCTTCTTAGGGTAGCCGAAGTCGCCCATGGTTCATATATCAAAGTAAAATTCACTAAACAATCACCCCTTGAAGTTTGTTGCAGTCATTCAGATACACCCTGTAGGTATATGTATCTTATTCTATTGTAGCAGAAACTGTCAAAAAGTTGCGCCATTAGTGGATGCATACAAAGGTATGGAAGTTTCTACCGATTTCCAAACCCACAAATGTATCCAGAAATATATCAAAGATGGGTTTTATGTTGTGTGCGAGAAGACCTGCTTCAGCGTGAACAGTTGAGGGTTTATAATAATTTTCGAGTTTGTGATAAGCCTTTTCGACGAGAGGATGTTGGACGTAACAACAAATTGTTGAAAGGAGTAGTACCATCATTAAATTTGCCAGTATGTGTATAAAATTGTCAAAATGTTGTTAGGACTGAGGCATATTTTTTTTCACATATAGGATATCAGTACTTCAAGTGCTTCGAATAACACGCCCAGACTTCAGGTTGCTTCAACATCCACCAGTGCAATCTCATTGGAGACTCAAGGTAAGAAATTATGTGTTTTATAAATCGTTTATTTCGAAAAGCTCCCCATTTTTTATTTTCTATATGGTTAAATTACCTATAATGGCATATAACTCTTAATAAGAGTTATTTATTAATAAACGAAACATCATTCAAAAAACGTTTAATTTCCCTTTTATTTCAAAAGAATGTAGTATAATTTGTTTAAAGTTTGATTTCATATTACAGGGAAACCCCGCTTAACGGGGAAACAGCGTTAATCGGGATCATTATTGGATATTTTTTGACAGCTAAACAAAGGGAGAGTTTATTGGTGGAAGTTGGTGTCCAGAAACAAAACGACTTATCACCAAAAGCCCAACATTTATACAGGAAAGCAATGATGTATAAGAGGAAATTCCAGCGTCAGTGTATAACATGCCAAAGAAATAAAAGAAAATTATTACCAAAGAGACAACTTTTTAAGCAGTCAATTTCAAGTTTAGACAGACTAAAACAATCCTTTTTTTTAGCCAATATGACAACGAAGAAAGAAGGTTGCAGGGGAGGCGTTATACACTTGATGACAAAATATTGGCATTACATTTAATGCTACAAAATGGAAAGGGTGAGGAATAAACTGTGAGGAATAAACAGATTAACACCGTATTTTTAACATCTTTTAACAAAGTTATTTTGACTCTCAAATGTGTTGCAACCTATCAGAATTTAATTAAATTTACCACTTTTACGCGCTAATATTTCACCTTATACCGAAAGAGTTAAATCACTTCGTAAAATTTTTAACAGTGTATCATTAATCATTACCATTACACATTGTTTATAGTTATTGTTCTTTTATATTAAAATAAGACTTTATGTTTATGATTATAATTTCAATAAAAAGATTATTAAAATCCACAAATGTCTTTTATTTTTTTATTTAATTCCACACAAAAAAATTAGAAAATTTATTAATTTAAGATTTATCACGTTAGCCGCTATTTAATATTAGTAATGGGCCGAGCCGTTCGGAGCGCTGGTGCCGTGTACAAAAATTTTACGTAAATGTCACATCTATATAAGTTATCTATGATTTGGATCTTAATCACCATGGTAACCGAGCCAAGTTGGATAACCTTAAGATAATAAAATTTTATTCCAATTTTTTTATCAATTCTAACCTAATTTTTATTAATTTTAAAACAATTCGAATTCTTTACTATTATCTCGCATTTATAACAAATTCGTTAATTGTAATTAATTTAAATCGATTCTAATTAAGAGAAATAAATTTTTTGATTCAATCCACTTACCTTGTTTATAATTCCCTAGATAAACCAATTTTGAGTTAATACAGCCTTTTAAACCAATTAAATAAGACTTTTTCCTTAAAAAAACTTAAATTCAATTTCAATTTTGACAAGCACCTGCAACATTTGGATCTTAATCACCATGGTAACCGAGTTAAGTTGGATAACCTAACAATAATAAAATTATATCCGTTAATATTTCGCTTAATATTTTAATATTTTTTTAATTTTATTTTATCTTTTTTTTGTATATTTTTATATTTTTGTATATTGCTTCTTAAGTGAAATACACTGTATAAATAAAAACATAGAAATGTCACGTTCATAACGGACCTTGCGGTTGCCAAGCGATTTTAAAAACAATTGAATACTACAACAAACAATCACAAACAATCGTCGCCATTATTGTAGCTGTTAAGTTGTTGTGCCAAGAAGTGCTTCGATTTTTAGTGGTGTTAAGTGAAGTTCAACTTCGATTTTTTATTGGTACTTCATTCGATTACAAAGTAAGTTTTTAAAATACAAAATCAACATAAAAAGCGAACCTTTAAAAATAATCGTAAAAACGCGGTTTAAATTTTGATTGTCAAATCTCAGTGTAACCAACCTAAAATATTTTCTAACAAATTTTCTTTTTGAAATTAATTCATTTTAGTGAATTATTTATAAATAAATTTATTGTTATTTAAGAATTATCTTCTTTATTATATGTATAATTAATTTATTTAAAAATTGTATTAAGTTATATAATCAATAACGTTTTCTTAAAATGACGTTTAAGGTTATGTTCAAACATAACCTCAAATTTATTTGTCAACCTAACTTTTAAGATTAAATAAATGTCTCAAAATCTTCGAAAAGAAGTAAGTTAAGTGAGAATACTAATAAAGGTTGCTTTAACGTAGTAATAAAGGTACTTTTAGCGTTTAAACGATTGCATAAGGCGCGTAAAAAAGTATTTGCAAACGACGATAATGCTTTAGAAAAGGGAAGGATTAAAATAAACGAGGAATTTAAGAAAAATAAGCACGTAAAAGACCCCGTAGCAATAGCAGAGGTGATAGTAATGCTTTTATTGGTGTAATTTTTTTGTATAAAAATAATTTTTAGTTGACAAAATTAGCTAATGAAGTACAAAAGGAGCTTTTAACAACCGTTATACAAGCTGTAGAAGTATCACCTGGAAAATATGGTGTGGAATCTTATTATTTGATTTGTTTATATTTAATTCTTTTTATTTTAGAGATGAGGATTTTGCCAGAAACTTTAAAATTGGATAACGTTCCATTTAAAGATTGCCCAAATTAAAAAGCTTAAAGAAATTAGTCATGTTTAGTTTAAGTAGATGTTTTATTTATAATAATAATAATAATGTTTACTCCAAAGAAGACATTTTTACTGTTAACATGTAAATATCCCGCTGTCTTTATTAATGTTTTTTTTTGTTTTAATGTGATGGTGGTGGATTATCCATATGATATCTTCAAGAAAATAAATTAATTTTGATTTAAAAGAAAGAATAACTTACTTGATTGCTCGTGCCATTTGAGTTATTTGTGTTATCGCAACAAAAACGTTTACTGCAAATAAGTTATAATTAACCGGATTAATAACTAGGGAATATCGGGACCAAATTAATCCGGTTGCTGCTAATGATATTGTTTGAGGTATGCTAATATCAGCTGGTTTTCGGGAAATTATATCGGCCAATCCAGCAAAAACCAATCCCTTTAACACAAAAAATAAATAATAAATAAGTAAAATTAAAATAAAAGTATTTTACCCATTTAAACGTTGGCGCCCAAAAAAATACTGTTTTTGGTCCTAAAATAACAAAGAATTGAATAATTTGCAGAAAGAACAAAAATAATTAAAACCTGCTGGATGATTCCACATAGGTTGTAAAGAAGCGGGTACAAGTTTATCAATTTGGCTCGAAATTGCTTTAATTACCCCCATTGTAGTCGAAATAAAAATATTCTTTTTTGCCTTTTTTTGAAGTGTTTATTTCACCATTTTTTGCGCGTCAATATGACACTAAATACAATGTCAAAGTATTAATTCAAATTTTATTTTTTGAACCAATTAAATTTGGTTTCTCTTTGCACCGGCCGGGACATGATTCGGCAAAGATAACCAGTTGGGCGTAATAATACGAAAAGTAAAACCAAAACGACCACAGCAACTATAATAAAAAAAATTAAATTAATTTGAAATAAAATCAAAAAATTACGAAGTTTATCTTTAATTTTGTACCTATTACAGCGGGTAAAGTAATAGTTTTCCAATAAGTCTCAACATTTTCGTAGTCATCGTCACTATAATCATCATCATCATCGTTTTTTGATGATCTAAAATCCCATTTGTTATAGTATGGTATTGAATTTTTTGATGTTTTATTTGAAACTTCTTGTTTTAACTTTGATATTATAGATTTTAAATTGTTTTCATCGATTGTATCATTTAAAACTGATTTACTCGTTATTAACATTACCGGAAGGATTAAGAAAAAAATTATTGCGATTTGAGACATTTTAATTTGTTTTTAAAATCAACTTATTGTCAAAAATTGATTTATACTTATTAACCCATTTATATCATTCAAAAGATATGATAAAGTGGCCCACACTTTTTTTTTATTAATAATAATTTATTGCTCTGCAAGAAAATAATATACAGTATGTCCCCGGATCGAGTTACAAAGAGGAAAAAAAAATTTATTACTGATTTTTCAAACTTATCTCAGCATAAATAATGCGTCGGATATGTTCAAACCACTAAATCGCACGAATTTTATATTCTAACTATAGAAGTTAACTAATTATTCCCGTTTTTCTGTAAAAATTGGACTTTTTTTCGGGGGTAAATACACAAGAGCTTGTCTTTTAATCGGATAATTTTATTTTTACACGAACGTTTTGTTACCATCACAGGTTACCATTGAAATAACTCGAAATTAAAAGCATCCAGCTAAAGCTGTCGCGATTTTATCTTTTGATTTTGATTGAGAGTTATTTCCAAAGGGTAACAAAACTTGAGTAAATTAAAAATAAAATTATCCTGATTTAAAATCAAGCTCGAGCGTATTTTAGGGAGATTAATACACGACAATTGCACAATTTATTAACAATTTTTAATTATTTATTAACTATTTTTGACTTAATTACACGTGTCAAAAATGTGACAGGTAAACAAAAGTATACAGGCTGTACAAAAAGTATGGAATAATGGTTCTACAGCCTAAACTTCAACTTATATTAAAAAAAGTTTTAAATAAAAGTTACTTGAAACTATTTTTCGCATATCATGGCGTAGAAATAAAATAAAAGTCTTGACGGCAGTCTGAGTTACGACATGGTGAGTGTTTTTTAAATGGAACACCTGTATATTTTAAGGCTTTTGGATTCCTTTTGACAATGTGTTGCAAAATGCCGTAAGGTTTTAATGCTTTAAACTGCATAGTTTTCGAGATATTGAAACTTTTATTTAAAAAGATTTGACGTAGCGACAACCTAAGCCTTGACATCACAGAGGTGGGCGGAGCTTATATCCCAGTTGCTAAGGTAAAACGCCATAAAAATGTCATCTAAAATGTCACTTAGTTTATTTTATTTTATCACTAATAGACAACCTGAGCCTTGACGTCATAGAGATGGGCGGAGCTTATACCGACTCCAAACATTTTCGTTGCTAATAGACAACCTAAGCCGTGACGTCACAGAGATGGGCGGAACTTATACTGACTCCAAACATTTTCGTTGCTAACGGTAAATCACCATATGCAATTTTCAATTAGTAATAAAATAAACTAAGTGATGACATTTTTTGGCGATTTATCGTTAGCAACTGTGGTTAACAACGAAATTGTTTGGAGTATAAGCTCCGCCCATCTCTGTGACGTCAGACTTAGGCAGTCTATTGAAAAATTGCATATGGGGATTTTTTGTTAGCAACACTGTTAGCAACGAAATTGTTTGGAGTCAGTATAGGCTCCGCCCATCTCTGTGACGTCAAGGCTTAGGTTCTCTTCCATAAAGACGCCATAACTTGGTTGTCGCTACATCAAATCTTTTTAAATAAAAGTTACAATATCTCGAAAACTATGCACTTTAAAGCATTAAAACCTTATGACATTTTACAACACCTTGTCAAAAGGAATCCAAAAACTTTAAAATATACAGATGTTCTATTTAAAAAATACACTAATCATATTGTAACACAGACTGCCGTTATCATTTTTATTTTATTTCTACGCCAAGATATACGGAAAATAGTTTCAAGTAACTTTTATTTAAAACTTTTTTAATATAAGTTGAAGTTTAGGCTGTAGAACCATTATTCCATACTTTTTGTACACCCTGTATATATGGTAGTCGTGTTTTTATCAGTTATAAAATATCACGTGTGATTTATTCAGTTGAAAAACCTAGGTAACTTTTATCCACTTAAAAAATCACGTTATTGGTCGAAATTTTAAGCGATCGTTACTATGATTGGTTGTATATTATTGGAGTGCATTAATCAAGTTTAATTTATGATATGTAACCATAGAAACCATAAAAGTTACTACTTATGTTAGTGAAAAATATGCGGACAAATCAAATTAAAATATGGCTAAATAATTGAATAAAATATTTTAAATGTAAATTTTATGTAATAAATAATAACACACACTATGTAAGTAATAAATATTATTTATTTGTAACTGAACAAACCAACTATTCATTCAAACAAGTCACCTCATAATTCGGCACACATTTGAAGACGACTTCTAAATTCTTCATAAGAATTACGAATTTCCGCCAGTGGTAGTGATTCTATCGCATTAATTATTCTTACTTTTAATAGTTTTGCATCGTCTTGTAGTGGTTCACTGTAAACAATTTGTTTCAATCGTCCCCAAAAATAAAAATCCATAGTTGTAAGATAAGGACTACGTGCTGGTCATAAAATAGGACCATCTCGTTCAATCCATTTTTGACGAAATTGTAAATTTAACCATTCGGTCACAATGTGTGAATGGTGAGCTGGGCAAGCGTCTTGCTGAAAATACATTTACAGACCGTATAAAATTTAAGGGTAATTCATCAAGTTGTTCATTAAAATAATTTTGTAAGATATGCAAATATTTCTGTTGATTTACATTTCCATCGAACAAATATGGCCCAATTACCCCGTGATATGTTATAACACACCACACATTTACTTTTTTGAAATGTTCACTTCGTCTAGTGAGTGTAAAATTTGGATTTACATCACTCCAATAATTATTGCAATCTGGGGAGAAATAGTGCCATTTGTTGAAAAGGCGCTTTCATCCGAAAATACAATAAATTTATGAAAATTTCGGTTATTTAATATTTCATTACCAATCTCAAGACAGAAATCCAAACGTTTGGCATCGTCGCCGGCATCCAAAGTCTGTCTAAATCGTGGTTTAATGGTTTAATTTTATTTTCTTTGTAAATTCTGGAAAGGTGCGATTTACTAATTTCAGTTTGTAACGGACTTCTTCGAAGTGTAAATTTTGGAGATTCTTGAACGGAGTTTAATGCTATTAGAGAAGCAGCGTCTTCCTCGTTTAGTCTCCTTTTCTGCTTCTTTATGGTTTTATATCATAAATTGAACTTGAAAAATTTTCAATTTAGAAAAAAGTCCAATTTTTACATAAAAATGAGAATAATTTAGTTAACTTCTATAGTTAGAGTATAAAATTTATGCGATTTTTTATTATACCGTTTAATTGTACGTAAAAAAATAGGTTGACTTTGATAAAAGTTATTGGTACCTAGCGTTTTTCGTTTTCGAGTTATTTTGGTTTTAAGCTTTTTTTGGTAAATTTCAACATGCTCTTTAAAACTTCATATCTCAGCCAACGTTCATTCAAAAAAGATCTACGTTGGCACGATTACTCTTCAGATGTTGTCAAATAGATTGTCATTTGTTGTATCGGAGTATCTTATACAGGGTGGTCAAAAATTGAATTACTGTTTCTCCATATTCAATGGCGAGAAAGTCGAAAATTTTAAATGGAACGCCCCATATTTTTTTAGCCTATCAGGAAGAGAATTTAATTCTCTACAAATTACCTATAAACATTCCCATACCTATTTATTGTAGTTTGCCTCATATTGCGATATTTATTAAAACATGCACGAAATGCAGGTTTTTTTATTAGAAAGCTATGGAATGTTGACAGTTTTTGGTCCATGTTTGTATTATTGTTGCCATTAGTTACATTTGACGACGGGTGTAAGTTATTGAACATCATGGTAAATTATTCCAACGCCGATATTTGAAATTTATTTTGTATTGATGGCGAATGTAATAAACTTTCGGACAAGACGTGTCGAACACTTAATGAGAGATGCCTAACAAACCTAACGCCCATCACGAGGAAAAATTTCAAAAAATTGATAAAGAATTTATTAGTTCTGGATATATCGAGACCAAAAGAAATCGCATATTTCCGGTCACCAGTGATGAAGACAACGAAATAAATAATTTAACGTATTTTATTGCATTTCCAAATCCAATTTAATAACAAATTTATATTATAAATTTATATTTTTATTCAAATCTAATTTTTGTCATTAACCTTTCTTTTTTAAGTTTTATTTATTCGATCATCTGTAATTTTTGGTAAGTAAAAGCTAGTAAACTAAAAGATTATCAATCGTAGTTAACAGTACAAATAATAATAGAAATAAATTAAACAAAAAACTGTCAAAGTATGCAGGTTTTGATTTTACGAATATGAGAGAAACTACAATAAATACGTATAGGAATGTTTACAGATAAATTGTAGAGAATTAAATTCCCCGTGTAGGCTAATAAAATATGGGACATTCCATTTAAAATTTTCGACTTTCTCCCCATTGAATATGGAGAAACGGTAATTCATTTTTTAACCATCCTGTATAAGATACTCTGATACAATATATGACAATCTATTTGAGAGCATCTGAAGAGTAATCGTGCCAATTTAGAGCTTTTTTGANTTGTCATTTGTTGTATCGGAGTATCTTATACAGGCTGGTCAAAAATTGAATTACTGTTTCTCCATATTCAATGGCGAGAAAGTCGAAAATTTTAAATGGAACGCCCCATATTTTTTTAGCCTATCAGGAAGAGAATTTAATTCTCTACAAATTATCTACTAATATTCCCATACATATTTATTGT